ACAAAGGCAACTGTAACTATTACAATATTTAATCTACAGTGATTCTCAACCTGATATTTACCGGCATATTATTTCGAAGACACAATACCTACTAACTATCGGTACTGTTTTTATAAGGTATTTTAAAATAATATTTAAGTAATTAATTATAGATGTTATATTAGTATGGTACATAATTGACACTCAACATTAGAGCATTAAAACTACTACAGTATTCCGTGAAAAATATAGAATATATTTTTATTTGAAAACTTACTAAATACATAATAAGTATTTTTTCAAATTAAGCACATGCTGCTATGCTGGCTAGTAAAGGTTTGAGACATCGTATTCTATTGCTTTTTACTTAGTGTCATGAAATTTAAAGTAATATGTTACTTATGTTAAAAATATTATAATATTATTACATTTATTTTTGGACACAAAGAAATACCGGATGTAATATTTTCGATTTGCTAAGTAGAAAACTTGTGTATATGGTTGATAGGTAGGTACATAGAGATTCTATGTAACAAATACGAAAAATACAATATTTTTTAAATGGATTTTATTTAAAAATAGTTACAGTTGTAAAAAATAACAGAGAATAAGCAATCATATGATAATCACATGTATAGAAATGTGATATATCATACGATGAATTATTTTATTTTATTTATAAAAATATAATTTAACAAAAATGTAACTGTTGAAACTATATAAAATCTATTAAACACAATATACTAATGTATTATTGAGCATTTAGTATTATAGTACTATTTAATAAAATAAATAATGATATACTTTGTGTAATATAACTTTATGTTTCATAATTATATATCGAGGAAATATACCTATTTTATATTTATATATTAATGTAATATATATTATATATTTATCTAAATAATAAGTATTCAATAATAATATTACCATTAACTTTTATGAAATAAATGTATCAGGAATTTTTTTAGTTGGTAGATAGATTTATTATTGTTCTTGAATTTAATATATTTGTTTTGAATAAACTTATCAAAAAAAAAGTGAATGTAAAAACAAATAAGGTTTAAGCTTGTATAGGCAAATAAGGTAGGTACGTACTATATATAATATATTTAAATTATATTATTTAGAAGTAAATATAATGGAAATAGAAATCATAAAATATCGTGACTAAAAGCTATTTAAAAATATACATAGATATTGCAAAAATGATAAAAAATAAACGAGTGACTTTATTATAAGAAAATTAATTTTTTCCGTAGCTATTTCGGTTTAAATGGTTAAAGTCTTATAGACTGTAAGTTCAACGTTATTTATTATATTTGAACTAACTATATAAGTTACTAATTAGATTTTTTTTACTCAAATTAACAGAACTTTAATGTTCTCATAAAAATTAAATGATGATTCTTACAGGGATACTTTTAAAAACAAGATAAAATTGACGATATTTTATTGGTATATATTATTAAAATACATCATCCTGTAAGAAATAAATTGTAATTTTTAGAGCTTAGATTTAGGAAATAACTTTTGATGTGAAAATATTAAATAATTTTTTAGTTAGATGAATTTTGCAAAAAATAATTAAATGATAAAACATTGAAAAAATTATCAGACTTACAGGTCAAGTGTTTGACTACCTATTAATTTATTAAGTACATACTTATGCCATCCATTCAGTTTTGGTAAGGTATATTTTCTTTTTTTACTATAATTTTATAATATAAGAGTAGTATCAAATATTTATATGATCATTTCTCAATATTTAAAATATAATTTTCAAAATATTTTAGTTAGAAATTCATAAACAATTTTCTTTCTATATATAAGATTTGAAAATTTAATTTAATTTTGTTATAAAATTAATATTTATCAATATAGAACAAATTTTTAATTTTAAATAATTTTTTGCTATATAAAATCATACTTGAAAACTGTATAACGGACTACTGCTTTAATGTGAAATTTATGCAACTAAAAAAATATTTGTAAAAAGTTTGTTTTAAATTTCCACTTCAATAAATTTAAATTTCAGTTTTTAGTTATTATATTTGTTTCTATTTTTATATGAATGATGATTATTTAGCGTTATTTAAACTAGTGGTTCCCGACTCAACACAAGGCACAGACTACTTTTATACATTTTCTATTGTCATGGACCGTGGACCTGACATCAATCCCCCCTCCCTTTAATATCACTTATTTTTTTTTTATACCTTTCTAATTAATAATTTGTAAATAAAAACTAGAAATAAATATACAGTTTATGTTGTAAAAAAATATTTTAACTTATTTATTTAAAAATTTAATTTGATAAAAAAAAGGTGATACAAATTCAAATGTAACATTTTACGAACTTCTATTAATTAACTTATTTAATTTGAAAAAATATAAAATAAATTTATATTATTAAGTACTCAATTAATGTGACTTATTAGGGCGTGCTTCTTTGATCAGTTGTGGAATTCTTGGAATGATATCGCATAATATCGTTACTTGGATTCGGACGATTTCGTTATTTATTTTTTATAGATAATAGTGAAGAAAATTCTTGCTTGCATAAATATGTGTTTGAAAAAACCTTAAGGAAAAGTAATACTATTTGGATATCCCATGGACTTTTTACACCAAAACTCTTCTAAGTATATCCGTACATAAATTATAAATTGTCATCGGTTGCGCAAGTGTATTATTTGACTGTTGAGCGCTAAGTCGTGTATAATAAAATGTATAAAATATTATTTCGTTCATCTTTTTTTAAAATTTCTTCATTCGCGAGCCACTAGGGATGAGTCTACAGACCACCGGTTGAGAGCCATTAATTTAAACGGTAGCCAACGCCTATTGTTATTTTTATTTACTTTATTTCTAATTTATTAGTTCTAAGCCTGTAAACATTGATTGGAAAACATGCATACTAGGCCATTTAACTTGAAAAGTAGAAATCGACTTGATCAGTCATAAGATACATCACAAATTTAAACGGGAATCAACTCAGTTTACTTTAATAAAATATTTTTTTTAAACAAGAATCAATTCTGGTATTTTAGAATTAATTTAACTACGGCAATAAAAATATTATATTTTCTTAAAAAACAAAGAGTCGATGGTAATTATTAATTTATGTTACATATCATACATGCATACATGCATACATACTTTAATACACATAAACATAATTATAAGTATACGCAATAAACGCTATCGACCATAGAAATAGGTATTATTGTCTGCAGGGGCGTCATTTGGGGGATCAGGGTGTGTGGTTGCACCCTTTACTTTTAAAATAGTACTAAATACTGAAAGTAAGTACATATCAATCTATATAATGATATTAAGTCAACATTTTCACAAATTTGTGTTGGCTTTATATTTATAATAATACATCAAATAACACAACAAAACATTTAATTGTGTAAATGAATACTACTATTTTCAATAACTATCCTAAATATTAAATACCTACTTTTTATTTTAACTTATATGCGCAATTATAAGTTCGAACATAATAAATTATATTATTTGTTTTACGCAGCAAAACATGAAACGGATAAATTGTTTTATCCTTTTCCACAACGAATGGCGTTTTTTAAGTTCGACCGTTGTTACCGTGGGCTCTGTTCCAGCACTGCATCTGGTTATTGCAGGATCTAAACAATTAACAAGTGTGCACACAGGTCAGTGTTATTCCGTTTTCAATATTAGCCAAAACTTGCAATGGAATGCACTCAAATTCGATTGCTTTGGTTGCATCAAGTGCCATGTGAATGTTCGGCATTGAACTCCATAATTTTCTTGGTGGACCGATGAAGTCACACATTGCCATGTTCGTTTTGGCCGGGCCCGCACAAACCTGTCATATCGACAATGAAGACGACAATCGAATCTCTAATGCACCACTCGCAGCAATGTCACTGCATATTAGACATTGATTTATATTGTCTTATGATAAACTCGAAAAAATTGCGGCATTCTTTTTCGGATTGACCATTTGTAAGTGGTTGGCTGAAACCAACAGAATCACCGAGCAGGCAACAGCGGACAGCGATCGGATTTCGACGTCAGACATAATATATTTTGTATGATCTTAGGTATAGTATAGTATTCGATAATATATTTTTAGATAAACGTACGCTTAATACTTTTTAAACAGGATATGTTATTCGAGGCAGGTTTTATTTATAATAACAAACTATGTCACAATGTCACAGAAACGAATATTGTGTATTTCAATACTATACAGTATAGATATAGTTATCAATAGCAGCAATATATGTTAAATCTAGTTTGATTATTTTCTTTTTAGAAGTTATCATTAACATGTGTTTTATCTGAAGTGTAAAAGTTCGGGGAGGTAAACAAAGGATTTTAAATTTGATAATGTACGTCAACAAACAATAACAAATGCTATAATTTTATTTCTTTAACTGTTCTTGTGAATAGATTTTCTGATTACCTATAATCTATACACACAGTGTTACTGAAAACATTTTCCATATAATGTGAAAATTTCATATTGATAAATAGAAAGTTATAATACTATGTACAAATTTAAAAAATATAATTTATAAAAATTAGCAAAGAAAAGCAAATTTGTATTTAAGAAAAACCATGTCATGAGATTGACCGAATGAGTTAGTGTTGATTAAAATAAATAAATTAAAAAAAATGGTTATGAAAAAGAAATAATTACAGTATTTATTAAAAATATTGAGGAAATATAATATAATTATTATCTATTATATTCTACGTTGTTTTTGAATAAATTTTATAGAAAAATGTTAAAATGCATATTAATAATAATTTTTTTGTGGCGCTTTACTCTTTAAACATCCCTTCTTTGCATTCATAATTCAATTAAAAAAATGTTTAGCCAGCTCTTCGCCTGATCTAAAATCCTTACTACGTGACTGCTAAAATTAATAGAATTACTATAAGTATTGATATTTAATAATGTCATTTAAGTTAATAATTATTATTTATTAAACTGAATTTTTAGATACATTATTAATTACCTACTACAATTTATCATATAAATGTTGTAAATTAAGTAGTTTTTATCATCAGCTGCCGTACTGAAGATCGATAGCAGTAGCTTCGTCATCGTCAAAGTCTGTGTAATATTTCTAGGAGTTACGTTAACCGCTATGAAACATCCGTTTTATTTGTTCAGGCATTCTGAATAAACATTCCACACTCGACACACATACACCCACACATGCCATCCCACCTTATCATGGGTTATAATTGAGCACGGGCGCATTGCGTTGTGGAGCTTAAATAAACGTTCGACGCACTAATGGAAGATTCAAATCGTAGCTAAATCAGCTGAGTGCTGTATCATTGATTGGAAATCGTCGTGAATTCACCCTACTACCACCCTTCATACGACTAAAAGAATATGTTGTCACAATGAGCGATGAGGTGCAAGTGATGGGGCAGGATATCAGGGTAGCGCACGCGCTCAACGAACTTTTGCTAGTCGTCGCAGCCCTTTGAAGGACAGCGAAAAAAATTAATTTTTCAGGTTACAATTAATATTGGATATCGACGAACGACCGGATAGAATACCATAATAAATAAATAAATAAATAATGTATTTTTTATAGTAATAAATTATGTTGCCGAACGCGATCACCTGATCAGTTGCTCATGGACGAGCTTGGTGTGACAAAAACGACGATGATTCCACCGCTGCACGCTGTGGTATGTCCCACATCATATGATCGTTCGATCACGGTAAGGGTAGCACATCCACCTGCTGTGATAAACAGCCTGAACCTAATTGCTCATATGGTAGTATACCACCACACCGATGACCCTTCATCTGTTACTGGGTCATACTAGGATCCGAGCAGCTACCCATTGATCCGAGCCCGGACAGCTCGGTATGACCGAACATTTTTTCAACGAACGCACAACCGTACGCACGTATCACATTGACCAGCTTGGAGTATCGCTGCCGCCATCTCATACTATTCACACACACTAGGTAAAATGATGATGAAATTATTATTATTATCGTGCGCTTGTTTTCACGCCGCTTCCGCTCTGAGGTTAACGTTTCGAATGAAAATTAAAACGCCGTGCGAATGACTGCCTACGCATGTTTACTTGTTGATCGATAACGAGCTAGTTATTGAGTTTTTGAATATCTTTTACCGGGCGCCATGTTATATATTATTACGTGTTCGTTGCTAAACGGCAAATTCCTCAACTTAAAAAAAAAATCATATGTTTGATCAATTCGTTTCGCCTCTAATATGACAATTATTACGTTTTTTATTTTTTTATTACCATTCTGATTATTTAATATTTATTACACGTTTCAAATCTAACCTACTTACCTATTAAACTATAATTATTTTGATTATGCTCTAAATCATTAAGAAAAAAACCATGATTTGTTTTTCGGTTTGTTATTTATTTAAATGACATGTGTAAATGTCATCATGTCTTATAACTTGGTAAAGTTTATAAACCAGTAAAAAAGAATGAAGGGAAGAGCTTTTGTTTATTACATATTACAAGTTAAGTTGTATAAAATGATGATAGGTACCTATTAAATATTAGTAAACATTAGGTGTATGCATTAAAATTTGTAAATTTCAATACACAACAGAAAATTGTTAATTATGATAGGTAAATCCTAAAATGATAAATTTAATTTAAAATACGTATTATCAAACTTAACTGATTCAGTGATAAGTATTATAGACGAGTACTTATATTAAAATGATAAAAGTTAAAAAAATTTAAGATATCTATAAAGATAATCAACTTGATGGATATTTGCTTTTTAGAAAGACAATACCTAATTATGCTGAATTTTTTTTATTTATAGTACATTTTAAAAAATAAAGCAATTTTTATACACTTCTTTTTGAATCATTCTAATTAACAATATATTAATTCTTTATATATTTATTTCTAATGAATAATATTTTTTTTGAATTAAATACAATATGATACCTAATAATTTTTCATGATAAAATAAGATAATCTTTTAAATTGTTAATTATAATATTAATTAAAATGTATTAATATTTTTGATTAGTGTAATACTAATTATAGTTTGGATTAGGTAATGAATAAATCAATAGGTATCAAATTTGTTAGTTAAATAATATATTTAATTTCAACTTTAAATAAAATATTTGAATATTATTACAGCAAACAGAGTTTAATTTTTATCATCAATCATATATCAAATAGACCATTAGCATAATACTTTGTATTGAATTAGAGAAACCACATTAATGGTTAGGTTAAAAAAAATTCCACATCGAATCAATCATTAAAGAACATGCACCCATCACAGTTCAATAATTCATGGAGAAATGTTAATCATTTAGGTGGACATGTAGAAGACATAAATATGCAAAATCATAACATGATGCCAAATGCTATGCCAAAAAATGGAGTAGATAACAACAGACAAACACAAAATCCAATGCTCAATGCTATGATGCAAAACTTGAATAAACAAAACTATATGTCAAATGCTATGACACAAGGTCTTATGGATAATAATAAAAAAATGCATGATTCAATGTTAGATACTACAGCAAAGAACTTAAATAAGGAAGACCCTAGCATGATACTAAATCATGTAACACAATCACTTAAAAGGTTTGTTGAAAAATAAAACTATTTTGTAGAAAATTTAATGTTTTGTATTTTACAGGAATTCGTCATTAACAGTGAAAGATACATCAAATAAATATGTTGGAGGTCAAAATTCAGCAAATAGCTTGTTCACTTCTTGCTATAATAATTTGTTTTCACAATTTAATTTTGAGCCAAAATTAAACTGCAATAACAATAAAAGCAAAAATGAAATACATCCAAATTTAAATCAATCCAACTTTCCTCTAATCAATAAACACAATTTATCTAACAATGGACCAAGCAATAATAATGGTGTCCAATATTCTAGTATTGTATCTGCAGGGAAATCTTATGGTAAACATTCATTATTTAAAATAATATGATCATATATTTAGTTGAAAATTATTCATTTTGTAATAATTATTTTATTTTTATTAGTAAAAGTGATGAAAAATTTAGATGCAAGTGAATTTAAAATGAGTAACAATGATTTTCCAGCATTACCTGTTAAAAATATACAAAAGAAAAATGTCATTAATCCTCAGTCTTCTATAATAGATTCAAACAAACAGTGTAGTACAACAAATATTGCATCTAAAGTGTTAAATAATCCTAACATGGATCAACATATTAATAATTCAAGGCATTCAAGCAGAAGTCTATTAGATATAAACTTCCATATGAATGGCGCTACTGTACCACCTAAACCTAAAGTTAAAATATCAATTGATGATGGTCTCTTAGATATGATCTTTACAATTATTTTTATTTATTAATTAATTTTTACTATTTAGGTAAAGTTACTAATATACCTAGCAATATGGTACATGATCAATTTGGGATTATTGGTCATCTCGTTAGTATAAAATCTGCAGAGTATGATCCTAAATTGGTGACATTAACTTATGGAGACGATTTGAGGACTCTTGGTTTGAACATGAATTCTCCTGAAAATATTTACCCTACATTTGCAGGTCCATTTGAAAATTCTCCACTAGGACCACATAACATTGATTTTGATGTACCACCAGAATATAGAGTTCAAAACAAAATAAAGTAAGAAAATTAAATGTTAAATTATGAATATTTTTTAATGAATTAATTATTTTTGTACATTTTAGGAATAAATTGGCTCCAATCAAGTTGTCCGAGTATCAGGATGATTTATTGTTTTATCTTTTTTATTCTTACTATGGAGAAGGAATACAGATATCTGTTGCAGATGAATTGTTAGTGATAAAACTTTTTTTTTTATAAACATATATACATATATAACAATTATAATTTATTGCTATAGGTGTACACGAGGTTGGAGTTATCATAAAGAACTATGTGAGTGGATCATTCCAGTGTCTTCTGGAACTAGCATGTTTGAAAAAGATTTTTCAGTTCATGGTATATTTTATGTATTTGATCCAAAGTTGTGGTGTAAGAAGGTCAAGAAAATTAATTAATTCTTGATCAATGATCACACTGTTGGATGAATGTGTATGTATTGCATATTATGTTAACTTTTTGTTGGTACACCAAGATAAGTTTGGTTTTAATCGATACCTAATAATGTTCAATGTATAAATGTCAATTAATGTTTTTTTTTTTTTTACTTTTGTGACCTTTCATAAAATCCATCCAAAATTTTTGGAAAATAATTATTAATATTTTATAATCATTAAAAAAAAAAAATCATACTTTCTACAGTAAGTTTTATGGACATTTTATGACAAATATCAAGATAAATAATTGCCATTCCATAATAACTCAATTTTTATTATATTAGTATTTTAATTTTAACTTTGAATTTTTGAAAAAATTATTATAAAATAATATCATGATTTCAATAAATGTTTTTATAGTTTGTTACCATTAATAATTATGTTATGATTTAATATTTTTTACACACAGTGTGTTGAAATATATGTATAAAACATTTTGATGCATTATACAATAATCCCATTTATACCTAATTAATGTACTTCAAATCAAAACAAGTGTTCAGTATGTAAAATATTCATTAATTCATGTAAAATAATAAGTGTGATGATAAAATTATTTTCTGGGATGGTGTGCATACACAACATACACAGACAGCTATTGAGTTTGCAAACATTAACCATTTTACAGTATTGTGGAGATAAATTATGGGAATAGGAAGGTATTAATTGAATCTGTTAAATTAAGAACTTTAGAGTGTGGTGAGAAGTTTACTTCAATATCCTGGCGAGGAAGAGTATTCACATGTTATACGATAATGATAATGTTTACTGTTTTCGATCCAACTTAGCTACAGCTACAGGTTTTCACTAGTCGTTAGAAATAGCCACGGCAGTGTCAAAGTATGGTATAACGAATCTGCATAAAGCTTCTCAAGGCGATAAACATAAAGCACTACAGCATAAAACTTAAACATCTTAAACAAAAACCTTCAAGTTTGACTGTCTGACTACCCAATTTCACTGATAACGTTGTTTTATTTAGTAATCCGCGTTATCAGTTATCAGTTATCACCGTGACTAAGAAATATAGTTTGGGCTTAGATTAAGCATAAAACTGAAGTAAATATAATTAATTATATTATAATAGAAGAATCAAGAAAGGCGTCAACACAAGTCACAAACACTTCTACCTTATACCTTTACGATAGTGGTTCTTTAAAATCAATTAAAAGTTAAAACTGTCACTAATGAAGCTGCCGACCTGACGAAGGCTCTAAATTTTCATGGTTTGTACTTTGTGTGGCGTAATTTAGTGTTATGCCGGGTAAAAATTAGGTAATTAATTTAAAAGTTCAATAAAATATGGCGGAAAAATCACGGATCACAAAATCTTATTTTAGGTACCGTTATTTTTCATTAGCTCATTAAATGTTTAATGATTGTTCATAATAGGTACCGTCATTAATGTTATAGTTTTAAATAGTGTTCTACTTAAAATTAATATTTGTACCTTTAATTCTTATATTTTAATGGCTCTTAGAAGTATTTATAACAACAATTATTAGTTTTTTTTCCATATTAATCTGGATCATTAAATTTCATATTTTCATATACCGTCGGGTTCGTGACAAAAACTCCAAGTCGAAAAATTTCAACTTTTTTTTGTTGATAAGGGTACACTGCATTTTTTTACATATTTTGATATCATGATAATTAATATTTGGCAGTTATATCATAATTCATAATGATAAAATACAAAATAATAAATATAAAATCATGTATCTCTATCAACAAACGTAAAAGTGTAAATGTAAAACCACTTAAGTCGATTTCCGAGATTTTACCAGTGTCATCAAACTACTGAATAAATTGCATTTTTATTTTTATTTCTCAACACCAAAATTGTTATTGTGTACGTAACTTATACAAAATGTGAAAACTAATTAGCATAATCAGAATTAAAAATACATTATTCAGTTAATATGATGTGTTTATTGCCCTATAATGAGATTTTAGAATCATTTAATGAATTTGATGACACTACTAATGACTTAAGTTTTGAAGAATGTGCTGGCGTTTTAGAAATAAGTAGTGGTAAATAATGTTTTCAGGTTTACTTTATAATTAAAAATACTACTGAGAATACTTGTACATACTTTATATGATATCTCACTATTTAGTAATGGTTGTGGTATCAAAATAGAAATACTATAGTTTCATTAGTTTCAAATGCCCTCTTAAAGTTTACAATTGTTCAAAAGGTAATAATTACTCAAAACTTACTTGAAAAAAGACTCATACAGATGGAACTTGATAGCATTCATCATACTATAAAAATTAAATTTAATAAAAGAAAAATTCATTTACTGACTGATTACATTAACGTTTGTTGGGATGCACGTATTAAGAATCTTTTAGGGTTAAATATTTAGACTTCTTATGTTTTAATGATTATTCACTAGTTAAATACTACTCCTCAATAATACACTGGGTACATTTAAAGGTGATCTTACAGTTACAGATATCAGATGTTTTAATATAAACTTGACTCATTCATACAATACAAATTAAATTATGATGATGAATGGAACGATTAATCTCTCAGACACAAAAAAAAAAAATGGTACATTTTTAGTGAAAAGAAAGTATAAGGAACCACTAAAAATAAAATGAAAAATTTAATCACCTACTACAGCTTAAGAATGTCTCGCCAAAATATACCTAGCAATATGATAATGTACCTCATATTAATATGAATAGTAAAAATAAAATAAAGCCAGTCATGTTTTATATAGTTTTTAAGTAACTAAAAGCATTTCATTAATTGTAGTATTAATGTATCTATTAAAAGGTTAAAGATTATTCTTAACATTTTTTACTGTTGAATTTGCTAAGATTTGTTGAATATTTTATTTGTATTATTTGTTTAAGTTTTTTTAATTTTGTTTCTTGATATTATGTTATAAGTACCTCCATACATATTTAATTTAAATATTTTTATTCAATTTTTAGAGCTTAAGTTTTATATTAGTGATCTTTAGTATCACATTCATATTTTGATCCCATAAACTTGTTTTGATTATGTTTTTTTTCAACATATTTTTTTTAATAATATACATATATACGCTAGTCTTTTTTATTTTTAAAAAAATGATCCTTTGCAGCTATGTTATATAAATTACATAAATGGATTATAAATAAATTAATATTATTGCTTCTTAATAAATTATTAACCTTAAATAAAAAATTTTTATACATTAGTATAATAAAAGATATAAGAAATAATGTAGGTACTAAAAAAGTCTGAAAGATACAATATCAAAGGCAATTTTATTCCTTGTTGTTCATGAATTTTATTTTGTTTGATTAAACCAAAGATACATCTTTGTAAAAAAAATTTAAGTGATATAATTATGCTTTATTGATAAAAGCAAAAATCATAAATATATATATATATATATATATATATATATTATGTTTCAAATCACTTAAATAAAAAAAGTAGGTTGTGGGTATATGAAAAAGAAGACTGTAAGAAAATATTATAAAGTAACATGTAAATACTGTTATTGTACATATTATATATATATATATATATATAAAATGTATTCTTCATGTCATTTTAAAATTGACTAAGACAGATATTGACAAAAGTGAATATGACAAGCAGAGTTTTAAAGTGACAAATTTTAATCTTTTTTTTCTGTATTTTATTTGGATTCAACAATTTATTCCTAATTTGTACAATAGTTTAAGTGATTACATTACAAGAAATTTGCTGCTAGAAATTGTAGTCTTAAATTTATAAAAATGTAAGTGGATTAATTGTTTTATTTTTAAGTGTAAACCCTGGTATAAAATCAAGGAAATATTAGACCATTAATTTGATTTATGCTTAAAATAATTATGACTACAATACTTTCAATTATATTATATTCTAATTGTTGCATAATATAATAATAATAATCATTATTACTTCATATTTTTTACCCCTGGGAAATCAGTGAAAAATTATCAAACATTGATCCATTCAATAAATTTGTTGGATTTTATTTTCCTCAGAGATCAATTAAAATCTGTTAAGGAAATTTAAATTGATTCTTCTTACAGCTTACATGTTTTTTTTTTTTTTTTTTTTTTTTCAAATAATACCTACTTACTAATTATATTAGTGTTTAATATTTTATAAACATAAATATAAATTCTTTATGCAACTGAAATATCTTTCAATTCATTGCCCTTAAGTGTCAAAAACTAGCCATTATTTTAGACTGTTTTATTGCATTTATATTTTATTTAAATAATAATTTTATAACACTAGCCATGATAATAAATGCATTTAAGTATACTATTATTATAAATTAATATAATTAGGGATTGAGTAACTAGTATAACTTGGGTTTATTATGATTTATTGTATGGAACTATTATCAACACTTTTAAACAATAATAATAATAATTTATTAGTTATAAACTTATAAATTATAATTTATTGAAAAAAAAAATTAAATAATTATACACGTATTACGTACATGATATAGGTCAATATATTATACAATTATATTTTTTAAATTAACAATTTAAGGCTCGATGCCTGATGGAAACAATAGCTGTCTGAGTTTTTATAAAACTAAGAATTGATATACATATGTAATATATACACACATATACCATTGAATAAATTCTGGGAATTGGATGAATTTCTTTTGCACGTTGATGTAGGATAGTATTGCATTCTCCACTCATATGTTTTAAATTATTTACTAAGATAATAATAGTTATAATTGAATATATTTTATGAAAAACAATCTAATTACAAAAAACTATTAATCAGAAATTCAATGTGGAATTATTTATTCATATTATGTTTGTTAATAAACAAATGTAACCCATTGACAAAAAACATGTGTATCTATTTTTAAGTATTATTAATTATTAATTATTATCTATGTACAAGATAATAAAAACCTAAGACCTATTGCCTAAAGCAGCGGTTCTCAACCTAGGGTACATGTACCCCAAGGCGTACACGATATTATCTCAAGGGGTACATGGAAAAAAATTGGCTGATGGCGGAAAATGTTGAATTTGCTTATTTAAAACAATTAATTTCAAAAATATTTATAATATGTTACTAAAAATGAAAATTTGTGTCACAAATTAAAACTTAAC